CGCATCCAAATTCCTCAGTACAGAAAGCCATGGCCCTGGTCATTGAAGTGTAACCTGAAGAAGTAAAGTGATGAATTAAACATGATGAGAAAGTCTAGTAAATAATACATGGCAAAGTTTAGTTCAGATTAATTGGGCACAGGAGCTGACACTGAAATAGAAAATGTCTGACATTAATTGACCTGATGGAAAAATAGGAATAAAATATGGAATTAATTAATGGAGAATTCTGACACCCCCATATCACAGAGCAATGTTGTCTTTGTGGCCAGCATGGACGCGAGGAAAACTAACGTACTCAGGTAGTGCTTGACGGCAAACAGAGAAGACAAAAATTTACTTTGCTCTTGCTGATCTTTGTGATCGTCAACTTATTAATGAATGCAGAGTTGACTCTCAAACTGGAAAAGCTGACAGATATTTTAGACTTGATTTCAGACGGCTTTATCGCCCCAGATGAAGTAAGATTTCTGGTGCGGATTGAAATTTGAATGTACATTGTGGTAACGAAATGGCCTCCTTCAGTGTTTGCAGTTTATTATCGAACATTTATGAGATTAGATTCATTGTACAGAACCATTCCATTCGACGTCCCCCGTATTGTGAAAACTGGCTGGATATTTCCATCCCGATGGGGAGATTAAATTAAAAACTACAACGTGATCCAAATGTTGCAACAGAGAAGGTGCTGGAGTCCTTGTTTGCATGAGACACATGCAAAAATGTTTGAGCATAGATAACCTGAACAAATCCAACATTGCAAGATTATACAAAAATAAAAATCCATCAAAACATGTACGATATGCAGCTACCTGTGTCATGCCCTACTAGGGTTACAGTTAATTCAAGCTTGTTAATAGATGTGATTTGAATAACGGCCCCCCATCCGTGTCATATGGATATAGATGTTTTAATAGTATGTCTTTAATTAATAGTTACCATTATTAGGTATACACAATTTAACAGAGGTTTGCTTGTGTTAACTTGCAAATTATAAAACTGTTACTTTCAGGGATTTCAAATGTTTTAATGAAGATTCTTTTTATCTGATTTGGTTAAATGTTTACATTTGTATGATTCAAAAACTTATCTAAACTCCGTTTAGGATGACCTTTGGAATGGGTTTCTTTGTCCGAGTAGCTGACACATCTCAGCCCATTTTATTGTTTAAAGTGACAACTTTAATTTTTCTTTCATGTACAGTTTTATTGAGTTTCCCAATTTTTGCTTCAACAAGAGAGGCTGCTTGATTTAAATATTTATTTTAGTGTGTGATGTCATTGATTTGCATTTAACACAAGGTGCTTGGGGGTGCACCACTAAAAATAAATTCCCATAGACAGCAGTGATAAATCCCCATACTTCACAAATATTTTAAGNCCATCCCTCGGCAAAATGGCTCAAATAGTGCCACTTTCAAACACGATTGCATCCAAATTGATCAGAATTGGAAGCCTTGAGTCCGGCCCAAAGGTTTAGTCTCATATTTCTTCAATTCCTCAGTTCCATGGCTCTCAGGACCCTCTAATATAGAATAGTTTGAGTGTATAGCTTTTATTAATGAGCTCGGCGGACACATTTCTGGCCTAAATACGAGGGTGCACCCTTGGGGCTCTAGATATTGGACTTTGCATTAAAATAGTAAGTACAAACAGTTGAGATGTTTCAGTTGGGTGTGGTCTTTTCATTTGGTGCACTGGAGTGTGAGGGACTGTGGCGTATATATAGAGTGAAGGTGTGCTACCCATAGTCAGTCAGTTGTCTTGCTGTAAAGCATTCTAACATCAGTGGTCAGGCTCTCTCCAATCCAGCAAGAGTAATTTCAGCCAAGGGCCTTGTGCTCTTTTGGGGTTGCCATACTTTGTGAGTTTATACATCGTTTCCCCATTCTGAGCGGACTGTCAAATGACCCTGGAACTGGTGACTGACAGCAGACAACTGTGAAGCCACAAACTGTAAGAATAATTGTTTTCTGTGTTGAGTAATTTGTGGTACTTTTATAAAAGATTACCGTAATATTTTGATAGAAGAGTCATACATTTTGATGTTCGTGGAAAAGTCACAACTTTGATAATTGTCAGCCACTAGGAACAGTATTGTACAAATTTTTGAAGTTGGATTTATCGACTTTTCCAGAGAGCCCTACCTTATGGCAGTTTTACTACCTTGGGTCCGGCCAAGATGCTCTCCACTGTTCTGCGCTGTGAGGGCGTGGCCAGCTGTTCGGCGGAGCGCTACGACTGCCGTAAACGTCCGAGGCCAATACGGACCAAGACAAACTGTTATTTCACACTGTATTAAAGGCTTGGTTTTATAATTTAGTTCGTGTACGACACTTCAGCCTGTGTGGCATTGTTTACCCTTAGTATCGGGTGAATATTTTCTCCTGAGCTTGGAAGTAGCCTTGGTGGCTTTCGTAGTAAATTTTGTTGCACTTATCGGCAATTACATGCTGTGTAGTTGTGGAATATTTTGCTGTTGAAACTGACTTGATTTACACTCCTGTGGTTCTATTTTTTTGTGATTGTAACTCCAAAGCATAGGGTTTGGTGTTTTGGCGTCTAATGTAGTTCTTTTAATCAAACTTCAAAACAATACTCTGACTTCAGTTTTTATGAATATCCTCATTTGAGGAATTGTACAAAACTATGAATGAGTGAACCTCAGGACTGTAAATAGGTAATAAATAATTGTATTAAGATAAATTTGTGTGTTTGGCTTTGCACTGATTTAGTTCTCACAGTAGCAAACATGTTCCTCTCAAAACAATGAGATTGAGAGATCTGTTCTTGGATAAACAACTGTCTGAAACATGTATGAAGGAGACGGAATACATAAATTGGCATTTGTCACAGGTTTCACAACATTATTGGCAGGTTATCAATATCTCAGGTTACTTCTTAGATTAGGAGTGAGAAGAAATCGGCTACATTTCCTAATTCTTGCTACATTTCCAAGTCCGTGGAAAATATGGAAGACTACTGACATGTTACCTAAGTAAAAATAAACGCGGTAATCCACCTAACGATATTTCTTCCGACATTATAATGCATATAGTAATATTGGTAAGACTACTACTGGTTAATTACCTCTGAGTTTGATTTGCCAGAGGAAAGGTTGCTCAGAATTTCAACTTATCGCTGAGAGTTCCGCAGTAGCTTCAAAGTGTTAATATTACTTGAATTCCGAAGGTGTCGACCTAGTCAAGTTGTGGGATGGATGGATGTACTCGGCTAAGGCATTATTTCACCATGGATTTAATGTATAAATGTAGCAATGGTCTGGTCCCCCAGCTACCTCGATAATATTGTTCACATATATTCACCCCTTCCACGTAGTTTCTACGCAATCGCTAAAATTCGGCAATGTCGTGATCACTTTCTTTGCTTCTTAAAATGGCGACGCCAGCCAGCAAACGACTGTACCAAAATTCATCTGCGGAGATCTTTCGCGTTATGTAAACGTTTGATAAATTTATAACAGAGAAATATAATCGGGGATCAGATTTCATTTTGTGTGTTTGCGTGTTTCTTGTTAATCCTAAGTGACATTTGGGATGAAATGAGATGAAAAATATGAAAAAAATGTGTATTGCAAGCCTACCCACACCGACCAGTAGCTAGCCTTTGACTCACACCACCCAGTGTCCGTCAAGAGGGGCGTGGCCAAGTGCCTACATGACCACACCTCACGCCTAGTCACCAGACCGCACCACACAGCCGCCGAGAGACGCCGAGTCACCGCTGCCCTCACGGCGAACGGGTATCCAGCGTCCTTCATCCGGCAATCATCAAGACTCAAGACCAGCACCGAAGTGGAGCGACCACAGTACAAGGCTTTCACCGTTCTTCCCTTTGTGGACGGTATCTCCGGACGGCTGAAGAGGATCCTGGAGGACCACGGCGTCCACACCGTGTTCTGATCATCCACCACCTTGAGGAACCAACTAGTGCGTCCTAAGGATCCCGTCCCACCCGGAAGACGCGGAGGAGTGGTCTACAGGATACCATGCGGTGACTGTGGCAAGGTGTACATCGGCGAAACTGGCAGACCAATCAGTGAGAGAATCAAGGAGCACCAGTGCGACGTGAGACTCTCCCGTGTGGAGTCGTCAGCGGTAGCCGAGCACACATGGGGAGCTGGTCACCACCCCAATTGGGACAGCGTGCAGTGCGTGGACCAAGACCAGCATTGGTACACAAGACGCGTCAAGGAGGCCATCCACATCCGCCTGAATGGACACAACATCAACAGAGACAGCGGCATCGACATCCCTGGGTTCTGGTTCCCCACCATCCGCCAACACAAACACCGGAGCCCAACGGAGCCACACCGAGGACACGCCCACTCACGCCCATGGAGTGGAGCGTGCGACGCCCGCTGAGGTCACCCGTACTGCGTCCGCAATACACGGCAGGGGGACAAGCGGAGGACGCGGTCCAGCGGTATATAGGGTCCAGTCCACTAATTCAAGCCCCATTGAAAAAAGTGTAAAATCAGCACCGTTCAGGGCCAAATAGCATGCACGCCAACATCCCTGAGATTTCTG